CATTTTCACATAAAATGTCCTGGTAATAGTACTTGACTAAGTATACTAACAATATATTTTGACCTGGTTTGAATGCTGTGAAACGATGATTGCATCTTTGTTGTAAATCAACTAAACCGAAGCAGATTTACAGTAATAATTATCCCATGAGGACGCGGTGTGTCAGTGTAAGATCACCCCGACGGCCGGAGGCCTGAGGGTGATCTTACACTGACACACCAAGTCCGAATGGGATAACTATTTTACATCCCAGCTGTACTAGATTTTATAAAGAACCATTTACGCTTCATAACATCTAGTCTTAGAACGCCGAACAATCATTATAATATACTTTATATATATTACTATATAGTATATACCCTTTATGAGCCCCGGACACAATGTTTGAATATGCTAATTAACTGAGAGTTGTTTTTAAGTTTTATTGTGGATTTGACATTCCCGCCAAAATGTTATAGAACAAAGGAAAGCATTCAGAACAAAGAAACGTAAGCTAGGGTGATCTAGTAGGGGTGATCCGGCTCAGATCACCCCTGGTAGAACAAAGAAGCTGGGATGTAATGATACAGACACTATTTGTCATCAAAAGGCATATGCACATTTTCAAATTTCAAAAAGAAACTTACATAACAGATTGATGAGACATTTAAATTTTTATCTCAGCGTACAATCTTATAGATGATTACTTTATTCTCCTGATAATGTTTGCCATACATCATGGTTTATTGAAAGCATTCGTGCACATTGATATTCTTCTATTGACAATAGTATGATAAATATTATATAAAGAACTAATATTTACATACAACAATAACATTGTCAATATTTCACATTTTACCACATGTTCTTCTAGGGTTAATATACTAGTCTTAACAACTGCTTTCAGTTATTATGTTCACAACGTTATTGTGTATCAATTTGGCGCCACTCAGTCTTTGAAAATAAGCAATACAATATGACGAAAGAAATCAATTGATTGATTGATTGCTGGTTATTTAACGTTTATTGGACGAACGAAATTATTATAGGAAATAAATTATAAAAAATGCAACACAAATATGATAAATAGTATGCCGAAAATGCTGAAACGATAAACGCTCTATGAAATTACCACAAACTTCAAATCATTTAATAGTACCAAACTTATTCCTGTTTAATTTGATTTGTCAGTAGAACAAATTTATGAAATGACGTTACCAAATGAGTACGATCGGTACATTTGTGCTGATACGAAATATCATATAGATATTCATTTTCTTTAAATTTACTGTTGATAAAATATCAAAGTTTTGAAAACGCTAAGCTTTGTTCCACCCCGAATAAACATTGCCTTATCCGTATTTGGTACAACGCTTCGGAATTTTCTGTTATTACTGCTATTCAACTTTTCAACTTCGTAGTATTTTATTTGGCCTTTTAACTATTTGATTTAATCGTTCGAGTGGAACTGATGAGTCTTATGTAGACGAAACCCCTGTTGGCAAAACAAGTTATAATAGATATAAGAAGATGTTGTATGAGTGCCAATGAGACAACTCTCCATCCAAGTCACAATTTGTAAAAGTAAACCATTATAGGTCAAAGTACGGCATTCAACACGGAGCCTTGGCTCACACCGAACAGCAATCTATAAAGGGCCCCAAAAATGACTAGTGTAAAACCATTCAATCAGAAAAACCAACGGTCTAATATATATAAAAAACGAGAAACGAGAAACGCTTATGAACCACATCAACAAACGACAACCACTGAACATCAGGTTCCTGACTTATGACAGGTGCAAACAAATGCAGCGGGTTAAAACGTTTTAATAGATGCCAACCTGCACCCTTCCTGAAGCAATAGTGTAAAAACACAACATAGAAAGACACACTATAAAATATCAATTGAAATGGCTTAACTCAATCGGAAGACATATTAACAAAAACAAGTGAACATACATTGAACGAATAAATTTGATCTATGACACAATGTAAATACAAAATTGATAAAAGAAGGGGGTTAAATGTAAAATAATATCGAAAACAACCATAACTTTGGACAAAATGCCGCCAAATAAAATACTGACATTTTTCCCATCAGTTGATAATCACCCCAACGGCTCATGGGCATATTTTGACCACGGTATATAAAAAATGGCATGAATAAATATAATCAAAAATATTTTTTCAGGATCTCTATATCTCTATATTGTTCATTTAAAATATGCATCTCTTTATTTGCTGTTATAAGTTATATCTGAGTCAAACTATTTTATGTAAAGTTTAGAAACTGCTGGTCAGGTATTGTCTTTTCTAGATATATGTGTAGTAAGTATAAGATCAGTCTGTACGGAACATATGACATCAACATGGTCACCAAACTTTAGATAATTCAGTTAGATGCAATTATCACATTTATGAGTTGCACATTTGCTTAACTTCGAAGATATTTAGCATAACATATATTTTGCAAATTATGTTAGACCTTTAATTGCTTTTCAACATAATTATATTCATTTAATTCTCATCACTACTTTCCAGTACACAATCTACAGATTATCTTCCAACCAAAAAAAATTAAAAAATGATTGGATCTCAATTTGGAAAGCATAGAAACTAATTCACTGTAACATACAAAACAAAATGAAAACATTAATCTGCTGCCTTCAAAACTGTTTGCGTATTAATTTGCATCATGCACGCCAAAAACTAAATTTAAGAATGCTAAATGTTTATAAAAACATGGAGTTCCATAAAACGAAAAGGATAAAAATTATGCAGACGCTCACTAAAAAAGAAAAAAATTCAATTGAATGACATGGATGCACTATACAAATAGATAATCTTTTGGAAGGATGCGAACTCATAATACCAAAATATTGTCTATTAGAATGGTCTAGATGAACAGTAACAAAATGTAATCCATTTGAATTATGTGGATGGAGTATATCAAAAGACAATTCATTAGTATGAAGAGAATGCACCGTACCAAAAGATATCCGACGGAATAACACAGACGCATGATTCCAAAAGATAATAAATTGAAATGAAGTGGAAGCACAAAACAAAAAGATAAAACATTGAATACGATGGCAAATAATAAAAAACGAATCAATTGAATAGCATTGAATGATCCGTATTCATTATACCAAAAGATAAGTCATTGAAACGATACGGATGCATAGAACCAAAACGATGTTCATTGGAGAATGAATTAATGCAACAGTAGTTTATAGGTGTTTGAATCTTATCAATCGATTAGGAATACAAATCAATGTAACAGACGGAATCGCTTGAACTCCCAAAAGGAGCTCCACTGGGTTCGTAGATAGGTTAAGCGTCTCGCGCTACGCATGCATCATTAAAACGTTTAAACCCGCTGCAATTGTTTGCACCTGTCCTAAGTCAGGAATCTAATGTTCAGTAGTTGTCGTTTGTTGATGTGGTTCATAAGTTTTTCTCGTTTCTCGTTTTTTATATAGATTAGACCGTTGGTTTTCCCGTTTGAATGGTTTTACACTAGTAATTTTTTGGGGCCCTTTAATTAAAGCTTGCTATTCTGTGTGAGCCAAGGCTCCTTGTTGAAGACCGTACTTTGACCTATAATGGTTTACTTGTATAAATTTTTACTTGGATGGAGAGTTGTCTCATTGGCACTCATACCACATCTTCTTATATCTGTATGTATATCGTATCAATCACGTATTCGTGAAGGTGACCGTTAAACTCATGTTTGTCTATTTCAGTCCTTACTTCATCATAACTCTGTTTGAGCAATTTTGTTTCAGGAGCACACTCCAGCTGATGAAATCCATAACGTATTAATTGAGATATGTAAAAACCATACGATAGGACAAAGGGTGTGTTATTGATAAGAAATTGGAGGTTAACTATTGAAAATTTGAAAATATTACGTTTGTCATATATTTTAGTTTGAGGTCGTCATTCTGTGTCAATATCAGGAAAAAGATCAAGATATTAAAGACCTTCTACTTTTGGTAGTATCCCTAATCTCACGTTCACTGGGATATATAAGTTGTAAGCACTCACTAAAATGTTTGATATTGACTAACAGGATCATCAATATATGAGAGTGAAATTTAAGAATTTAGCAAGATGTATTTTTTTCGTTTAGTCTCGGAGAAGATTTGTAGGAGTTCTGCTACTTTTGAGTGCAACAATAACAAGTCGGTCAGCAGGGATGCACATTTAGTACCCATTGGAGTACAGACTATCTATTTTAAAATCAATTCACCTAACCAAACAAATAGTTTGTCGAATAAAAAGTTCAGCATTTTGGTGATTTACTCCTCGGTGTGTTCGTTTTTGGAATCGGTACGTTTATTCACAGAGAAAGATTTTTTATGACCAAAGAATTGAATTTCTAACAACCCCATTTTTGTACCAAAAAAACTTTGTATAATGAAACGATGTATCCGATCTTGGGCATGTATAGTTGTATGGTTAGCGTAGAAAAAACAATAATTAAGTTAGAATAATAATTGTAAGAATTGTGATAGCAGATTGTGCAGATGATCTTAAAAATGTTAAAGAATCCATATCTGATTTACACAGCTGTTTGAATATCAATCTTTAAAATATTTCTGATTGCAATATTTTACCGTAGACAGAAAAGTGATCAAAAAAGATATTTAGTTGAACATTTTGACAATCCAGCTATATATCGGTCTGCATTTTTTGGTAATTGTAAAATTTAGGTTTCGAGTATATAGACAGGAGATTTAAATTATCCTTTTTTTATGTTAACACCAAAAAGGAGAGAAGGATGGATCTGTGATCCTCTAAATAATGGCAAGCATAGAAATAAAAGATAATTCATAGGAATGGTGAAGATACATTATCCGAAAAGTTGCTGCATTTGAAAAACACGGAAGCACAGTATAAAATGATAAACCATAAGAATTATATGAATGCATAATAACAAAAGACAATCCATAAGAATGATACAGATGGATATGACCAAATGATTATTAAAGTGAGTAAAATTGTTTTACTTACGCAAATACTTTGCTGGAATTTTATGCGATGTGATCAAACAAGTATTCCAAAGTACAAACACAAAAAACAATGTAGTTTTCATGTTGAATGAAAACTTTTAACTGAACAAATAGTGAAATACTTTTTTTGTGTTTTTCTGTTATATCATTCTATCCACAACTCAGTTCTGGTTTTAGCTTAGTTTCTAAAAGTCCTGTTTATATAGGCGGAACCATTCACCCATGTACTAGAATGTACTAATAATGTTCTCGTTGCAAAAAAAAAAAACCCATGACGTAGGCGATTTAAATACATATATGAAATGTATTGTATTTCAAGATAGTGTGTCGGAATAATGTAGAAAGATATTTTAAAATAAAACTTGGTCACCTTTTTTAGTACTCTATGTCATTAATTTGAAACTTATATTTTAATTTTCATTATTGATTTTTTTTTTTTAATAAATTGATGTTGATTATAATCATTTGAATACACCGATAGAAGAAACAAAAAAAGTTTCACACACAATAGAATTGAGAATGGAAATATGGAATGTGTCAAAGAGACAACAACCCGACCAAAGAGCAGAAAACAGCAGAAGGCCACCAATGGGTCTTCAGCGCAGCGAGAAAATCCTGCACCCGGAGGCGGGCTTCAGCTGGCCCCATAACAAATATATGTACTAGTTCAGTGATAATGGACTTCATACTAAACTCCAAATTATACACAAGAAACTAAAATTAAAAATGATACAAGACTAACAAAGGCCAGAGGCTCCTGACTTGGGACAGGCGCAAAAATGCGGCGGGGTTAAACATGTTTTTTGAGATCTCAACCCTCCCCCTATACCTCTAGCCAATGTAGAAAAAAACAAACGCACAACAGTACGCACAGTAAAACTCAGTTTAAGAGAAGTCCGAGTCCGATGTCAGAATAGGTAACAGAAGAACCTAGCAAAATGCTATTTTATATGGTTCACATTCTTTTCGAATGTAAAGCACAATCTTAATGTATAACAACATATTCTACACATATGTTTATGTACTTTAATGAATTAACCTATTTACAGCTTTATTATGAAATCTTAAAGGCTCAAAAATAAAGAACTGCTACTCCAACTACACCAAACATCTGAGGTCAATGTTTCTCTCTCCATATGTAATTTTAATTGTTTTATATATTTGTGTCGGAGCTTTATATAGCCGACCAAACAGTATGGGTTTTTTCTCGTTGTTGAAGGCCGTACGGCTGCCTATAATTGCTTACATTCACAGCTTCTTATTTCTATATTCTAGAAACTCATTTTAAATGACAAGATTAAAATTTTGTACGCCAGATTCGCGTTTCGTCTACAAAAAACTCATCAATGACGGTAGAATAATAAAATTTAAAAAGGCCGAATAAAGTACGAAGTTGAAGAGCATCAGATGACCTAAAATTTCGGAAGGGTTTACCAAATACAGTTAAGCTAATAATCTTGAGTATTTCGAAAAAAAATCAAAGTTTTGTAAACAGTTTATATATAAAAAAAGTAAAAACACAAAAATACTGAACTCCGAGGAAAATTCAAAAAGGAAAGTCCCCAATCAAATGGCAAAATAAAAAAAAAAAAAAACACATCAAACGAATGGATAACAACTGTCATATTCCTGACTTGGTACAGGCATTTTCTAATGTAGAAAATGGTGGATTGAACTTGGTTTTATAGCTAGCTAAACCTCTCACTTGTATGACAGTCGCATCAAATTCCATTATATTGACAACGATGCGTGAACAAAACAAACAGACAAAATAGGTAAAAATGTCAAAAATAAGGGTACAGCAGTCAACATTGTGTTATCATTTTAATCACTATAAAAACAAACAAATGTAACGAAGAAGCACAAAAATTATGACCATATCAATGATCATGCATGTCAACACAACAGTGCTGTATACTGGGTTGGTGATACCCTCGGGGAGAAAAACTCCACCAGAAGTGGCATCGACCCAGTGGTTGTAAAAAAACTTATCATAGATACCAGGATTAAAATTGTGTACGCTAGACCCGCGTTTCGTCTACAAAAGACTCATTAGTGATGCTCGAATAAAACAAGTAAAAAAAAGTGCGAAGTTCAAAAGCATTACTAAACTATCTCGTTATCATGTTACAGTAGCAGGAGTCAGATTTTTCAATCTGGAGTCAAGAGTCTTTTAGAAATACCAGTTATTAGTTTTGTAGGGTGAATGAATTTGCCGATTTCCCTTCCGCTTTAGCTCATAATATGGTAACTCACTATCATCTTTACACATATATTGCCAAACACTTTTCGTCTTCAGTTTACCATTCAGGACAAAATATGACATAGCCGGCTGAGATATCCGAAACGTTTGAGGCCGTTTAAGTGCCGAGATCTGTTAGAAATGTCAAGCAGATGATAGACAGCTAAAACAAATTCATTTCACGATAATTTTATTGTAATAAATACAATGTTAACAATTTATTCGAATAACATTTTATTGGTGTGTTATTTTAATACCATGATTATCTGTAGCGTTGAATGAGCAAATTTCCAAGTATTGTGTTTTAAAAACACATGTTTCTCGAAACTGAAATCAACTGGTTATAAGTTTAGTATAGCAAACACCATAGAGAAGTCTTACTAAATAAATTGGGAAGGAATACATCAATGATAATCAGTTCGAAGGTTTGTTTGCGGTAAAATCTGGCGGGATAAACGTGTTTTTGAATATTCACAAATTATTTTGAAATTTCTTTTTCTTCAAATAAAAAGTATATGTTATAGTGTTTATTCTAATCAAGTTTATCAAGATTCCTTTCAGACTTAAAATATGAATATCGCGTGAGAAATATTAAATGTACAGCGATAACCCGTAAGATAATCCTGTAGTTGGGTATGGTTAATTTTCAAAAAATTATAAAGAAGTTCAAATTAAGGTCACTAATAGGTACATTTAAATTTCAAACTAGATCAAATAAAATGTGCTTTGATTTTTAATTTGGTATATCGTTAATTTACTACAATAAAAGTCCTTGCATAAAATCAGTAAAATACGAACAATTATTTTGAATTTCATAAATTTTTTCGTTTCTGATGTTAAAACCAGATTAAAACCAGAAGTAAAAATAATAACTTTTATTTCAGCATTTAAATACTACACAGTATTGGATTTAAAGAACTTGAATATTCAATATACAATATACGGCATTATATAGTATGTATTCACACATTATAAATATCGAATTAAAGAGCGGATTATGGCATCAAAACATTTAAAAGGTTAACAACACATATTAGTAACATTTTGAACAAGAGAAGATTGTGAATGTAAAGCAGGAGACACTTACTCTGTCGAGGCTCCAGTTCTTGCTACTTTTGAGTTAATACGATTCCCTCAGGTTGTGTGTGTTACCTTAATTAGTAGCTTTAAAAAAAATTACTCAGTCGTATCACAGGAAATCGGTCACTGAAAAGAGTTTTAGTAATCGTGAATAATTTGTTTTCTTATTACCAGTCGGTATCTTATGTGCTATGTTGTGTTTTGTGTACTATTGTTTGTCTGTTTGTCTTTTTCTTTTTTAGCCATGGCGTTGTCAATAGATATAAGAAGATGTGGTATGAGTGCCAATGAGACAACTCTCCATCCAAGTCACAATTTGTAAAAGTAAAACCATTACAGGTCATAGTACGGCATTCAACACGGAGCCTTGGTTCACACCGAACAGCAAGCTATAAAGGGCCCCAAAAATGACTAGTGTAAAACTATTCAAACAGGAAAACCAACGGTCTAAGCTATATAAAAAACGAGAAACGAGAAACACTTATGAACCACATCAACAAACGACTACCACTGAAGAACAGATTCCTGACTTAGGCCAGGTGCAAACAAATGCAGCGGGTTTAAACGTTGTAAAAGGCGCCAACCTTCACCCTAACCTGAAATAATAGTGTAACATCACAACATAGAAAGACACACTATAAAATATCAATAGAAATGGCTTAACTCAAACAAAAGACATATTAACAAAAACAAATAAACATACACTGAACGAATAAATGTGATCTTTGACACAATGTAAATACAAAATCAATATAAAAAAAGGGTGGGGTGGAGTGAGATGTAAAACAATATTAGAAAGTCAACTATAACCTTGGACAAAATGCCATTTAATAAAATAACGTACACGGGTAAATAAAAATAATTTTGTTGTAAGGAGTACATGGAGTACGGAAATATTTTTGACAAAATAAATAAACTTGTTGTTTATAGTACGAGAACAGATGTGAAAAAGTATCGTCATACTAATAACTCAAAGGTTGTATATATTAAAAATAGTGAGACGAGATATAACACAAAATAAGTAAATATTGAAGCACAAAAATGCATTACAAATTGTATCCACAGGTCAAATTAACACGAAAGTACGATTTACTGAAAGCTAGTTAAAAGCCAAAAACAATGATAAAAAATCATGTATCAGAGACTAAAATCAACTAAAACACATCCCAGGGATTTAGTGTTTTAACGTCATGGACAGTCAAAGAAGACATGACTTGTGAAATGCCAAAATAAAAGTATCGACAGGCAGTAGGATAGTTAGGGTTTAACCTTTTAATAAATATGTATAATGTTATATAGAGATAAAGTTATCTCTATATAGAAAACGAACGTGGGTGTGTATTTATACATCCCCAAAAAACATTTCAAAAGAATACAAATTTAGTTATGTTTTAATTTGTTGATGAAAAAATCGATATTTGTGCCAATGTAAACAATATTCGAAGATCTAATTACAACATTGATAAGATAACCTTTACTAATAAGTTTGTTTAAAGTTTCGATGAGTTTACACGAATCACATAGTGATTTCCGCGCTTTCAGCACAATATAACCGTGAAAGTTAGGATGTGAAATACCGCATTTTTATAAGTTTTCTACAGGTACAGACAAATTTACTAATCAAATCTTTTTATCTATGAAAGAATTTAGTAAAAGTTTTAAGTAATTTATGGTAACGAAATCCCTGACTTAATAATTTACCAGTGATGCATTGATTACGTTCGTTAAAATCTATGACATCACTACACACACGGGCATAACGAACGAGTTAGTATCTATCGCCTCTCTTATACGTTTTGTAACATTTTTATATGTTAGGTCAAGCGTGTTATCTGATTGTATCAGGTTTTCGTACATCTGTATTTTCACACATAGCCATTTGATACAGTTAGAGATCATCAGAGATTATATTAATTAGGAGTTATATTT